GGAGATAGTAGGTAAGTGTAGTAAATTAAAACATTCATAATAGGAAGGTAAACTGTAATGACAGCCAAATTTACATGGAAATCCATATTTATCAAGTTTTCATAATAACCAATATAAATTATATGAGACAAAAAAACCTGACAGTTGCCAATATTAAAACTTCCCATGGGGCTGGTGAGATGGCTCAGTGGTCTAAAGCACTTACATAGAACAAGTTTAGCAAAGCACAAGGACTGCAGTTCAATCCCCCAGCACCACATGCCAGCCAGCACCGCCCCCTGGTGGGCTGAGCTGGCCACACACACACACACACACACATAAATAAAAATATAATAAAATAAAATGGATTAACTAATGGATTAATTAATGGAATGATTGAAATAAATTAAAAAAAAAACTTCCCATGACTCAGTAATCTGTAACAAGATCAGGTTAAAGAACAACTTCCTCACAGAACAGAAAGACTAACAAACTGAGCCTGGTGGCACTTGCCTGTAATCCCAGCACTGGGCAGGCTGAGGCAGGAAGACCACGGGCACTTCAAGAGCACTCTGAAGTACAAAGCAAGCAAGACTCTGTCTCCAGAAACACACACAAAAAGCTAACAGCTCTGCACCAACTTTGTGATTAAATTAAAACACTTCAGTGCACACTGAGTGCCAGAGACTAGCAATAAATATTCTAATTTTTCTAATCTCTTAAAAAATAAAAATTACAAATTTATATTATGTCAAAAAGCACAAACAGTAACAATTACATCAACTTCACTAAATTTCATATAGCCTAATATACTGTAGCCCAGGTTTATTTGGGGGTTCTCGGAGGGTGGGTTTTTGTTTACAATACTGGAGACTAAACCCAGGAACTCATGCAAACTACACCAGCCCTGTACAAGTTTTTCACCACTTAATGTTTGCAGAGACAGAAATGAGAAATTCTGCTAGAGAAATGAACTTGAAAACAGAAAAGTACCAACAGTCACTGGCTACACAGCCATTTTTTCTGGTTCCTTTTACTAGAGTTGGTTGTACTTAATTTCCCTGCAACAATAATGCTCAAGGTGGCTCTCTACTGGCAGTAACTGCCCTCTGAAAATGAAGTGGATCAGGGTATGAAGGGTTGGCCCGAAAAGGGCCAAGGACAGTGCCTCAGAAACTCTATCCCTACCACCTGCTGCTCCTGCACCACCCCACACCCACCCCCTTCCCTAACATCAACTTTGACGACTTGGTAAGAAATATGGCAGAATGATTCTTTGGCTTCTCAGTTTAGTACTGTGAATTTGTAACATCATGGAAGAGAAAATAAAACCAACCCTTCAGAAAGTTTCCTTAACATGAAAAGAAAAATAGTTAATAGTGGTAAAGTGCATCTTTTTTCCAGTATACCCACAGGTTCAAGATGTAAGACCTCTGATAAAGACTGCAAGCTATTCCAAATAGCTGAACTAGGGCTTTAATGTGAAAAACTTGTAAACAAATGTAAACTTGTGTTCCACCTGACATTTCTGCAACAGAAAATCCCTATTTACACACCTGTTTTTCAAATTCTACCTCTAAGATTAATAGCTTCAGTTCAACTTTATTAATTTTAAATACAGTATTACAGTTTTTATAAGACTAGAACCTAGCCTATACTTTTATTAAGTGACAAAAAAAATCAGCTACCTGAAACTACAGGACAAGAAAACATCTATATACTTATTAAAAACTGAGGGCCGGGGAGATGGCTCAGTGGAATAAGCGCTTCCCTGGCAAGCGCAAGGGCCTGAGTTCAATCACCGGTTCCGCCAAAAAAAAAAAAAAGAAAGAAAGAAAAACTGAAGCCCAAGGAAAATATAATTGGTCGTGTGTGCTTCTTTTTCCTAATCCAAAGACAAATGAGCAAATTTTCTTTTTTTTTTCTTTTCTTTTCAAAGTTTTATTGATAAACATATAGCAATGAGACAGTTTCAAATCAAATCGAAAGTACAGTTTCAACATATAATACACTGCATACATTCTTCTCAGTGGTTAATTGCTGTACAAGATGCAGGCAAATTTTCTTTTTAAACAGTGCCATAAGGCATCTTCTCCAACTTCCTAAATTAGTTATCAACTGAGTAACAATAAAAAATTTAAAATCCTTATCCCTGTTACATCTCACAAAAAATATTTTCATTTCTTCAATTGGCAATTTCACATTATCCCACTGATTACAAGCCTACTGTTAGTCTTGCAAGGCCTTTTCTACATGGACTCTAATACGGTGTGAAGACACACAACTAAAGACATCTTTACTTTACTTTCCATTTACATGGGTTTGTTTTGTTTTGTTTTGAAACCAGGATTGAACTCAGGCCCTTGAGCTTGCCAGGGAAGCGCTTATTCCACTGAGCCATCTCTCCAGCTCCCCATTTACAGGTTTTTAAAGATAAATGGAGGGGCTGGTGAGATGGCTCAGTGGTCTAAAGCACCTACTTAGAACAAGCTTAGCAAAGCACAAGGACCACGGTTCAATCCCCCAGCACCACA